CTGGAGATGTCAAAGTCATAAATGTATGAATGATGACCACAAGCAAGGAGGAGAAGGAACATGATGCCAATGGCTCAAGGAAGGTGACATGTAAGAGCCCAAAGAACCACAAACAGGTATCAGATGGAATGGGTGACCAGACAGGGGGAGCAATGAAAAACAAAGGCCTTGAAGAGATTTGTAAGAACAAGAAAAGGGTAGTCATAGAGAAAAAGACTGGACCAATCCAGATTCCTAGCATTGAAAGCCATGGCAATAGTCTGGAATAGGAGACCAAAAGAGGGGAAGTGTGGAATTAAGAGAAGTTGCAAATGCATCAATCAGTGAGGACCAGGAGTGGTAAAAAGTTCACTAGAAGATTGGAGGGGTGCAAGGACCACTCTGTGGTATGGATCCTGTCCAGTCAAGAAAAGCAATCCATCACCAGATTCAAAACCCTTAGAATGTGACATGCAACAAGAGGAATATGATGATTCTAGGCTCAGTGAAGGGATTCCTGAATGAGAAAGGACAAGTCCTGAGAGTGGGGCCTTTCTTGCTGATGATGTAAGAAAAAAACCATAAAGTTGTCTGAGTGAATCAACTAGAGACAACCTGACAACATCCACCAAAGATGGCAAGCCTGATAAGCCTCAGTCATTTCATGAAAGATGAGATGCTGAGAACTCTCCTCCTGAGAGAAAGTGGGGGTTTCAAGAAAATGCTCACAAAGTGGAAAGAGAGGTATCAGTATAAGGATGCAAGTTGGGCTAGGAGGGTGGGAGTGGAATACCCTTGGTTTTGCTATAGTGAACAAGCCACCACAACAGAGAGGGAGGTAAAGAAAAAGGTATAGACACAACAGTGGTAAAGGGGATCATGGGACATGCTCCACTGAACTCCTGAATCCACTGAAATGTATACATGTACATGACCAAGAAGGATCAGAATTACTACAGAAGTAAGAGAACATCTCATGGAAGAAGAAAAGGAGAGAGAAGTGCCTTAGACTCCAAGATCATCATACCATGAAGATGCAAAGGGGATAGATGCAACAAATGTCATATCCTTTCTATTTGCTAAGATATTGCTCATGTAATAAATCAAACACCCCACCCACCTCTTTCCATTTTTGGAAATGCTCCTTTATATACACATACTTCTATATATGACATGAATAACCAATGGGAAGCTCAGAATGTCCCACTAGTGGCTTTTTCAGCCATTTTAATGGGCTTGGACACCATTTCTTTCTTTTGAACTAATATTTCAAGGAGGTAGGGTGTGTCTTTAGTCTGATAGAAATTTAATATTTTTTATACTAAAATACATCTTAGTTACTAAGCTTGATAAATTATAGTGGAATTGTATAGTACTGATGTAGTAATTTATGATTTTTCAGTTATTCAAATGTATGTATAAAACCTAAAAAAAATTATTTTGTTTCATATTCTCCATGTGCAAACGTTTTAAAGGCTTAGCAACTTACATCAAGCAGCAACCGAATATAAAGTTCATAACTAATTGTTTGCTTTGCTTCTTTATTTACTATTATATGTTTTAGGAAAAATAAGTTTAAGAACTTATCTCAAAATAGCAATAATCTATATACACATATGTATAATAATTGAAATGTGAGTGTATTTTACGAAATACTAGTTGACTAAAACACAGCCAAGACAAGTTACAAATCTACCAAACTCATACAGAGATTCATTACTGAAAATAACAGATAAAATATAAAGTTATTTCTTAAGAAACATTTGATAAGTATCTGGACGTTATAAAAATTTTGCATGTGAAATTTGAAAATTTTCTGATGCATAAAAGCATTTTTATCTTAAAATGAAAATTACTTTGCATGTTAGATAGGCAACATGTGAACCAAAAAAAAAGGCATGAAGAAAACTTTGCTTTACAAACCTTAAAACTTGATAAAAACAATTTATATTTTGTGTGTGAAAGCATTGTGATAATGTACCAAATTTCATTAACATTCACTTACAAATTTAAAAGTTATAGCACGAAAACTATAACAAGCACAAAATGTTTATGCAAATCATACATCGTGTGGTTCAACTGCTGTGAAAAGGTGCTTGTTGTATTATTGCATTAAATTGTATTAAAACTTCTAAGTTTTCTTGTTGTTTTGATTATTATTGCATCTTAATAACTTGTAGTATGTAGAACATTCAAGGCTTCAGTCAGGCTATAAGTATGCATACAAAATATAGTTCGAGTTAAATATATAGATACAGTTATATAGTTGGACAAAGTTAGTTAGATAGATTGATACATTTAAACTGCAACATTGTGAGTTTAACCATAAAGAGTGTATAGTGGCAATTTTTGAAGTGGAATTATCACAGGTTGTATTGTAATAACAGTGTATAGAAAAAAAAATTGTCTTTTCAATTTGTTCAAAAGTAATTGGACCAGCCTGTGTAGACTTTGATGAAAAAGGCAATTATTTAAAGCTCTAGATAGAAACAACTGTGTACCAAATATTTGGATATATGTTTGAATTGTTTTAATATATTACTTTAAAACAAGTGGACTGTTTACAATTAGTATGCCACTGGTTATATCAGGAAAGGAACTCTCTTCTACTTCCTATGAGGCAGCTGGTCTCCATGAGGGGTCGGTGCAACCCTGGGATTGTCAACTAGTATTCAACTTAACTACAAAAAAAAACACATATATATATGACATGTATGTGTGTCAGTGGGTGGGTGTTGAAGGGTGTATAAACAAGTTTTCCAAAACCTGTGGGATTCAGTAATTTTGTTAGGTTTCTGTTGAAAATGGATGAGTTGTTAACAATGCATATTACTATTGTGACAATGTTACAGACTATTGTATGACTTCAGGTTAAAAGGTCACCCAGCACAGATGTCATACAATTTTCTAAGATTTATTTTTCTAAGTGTGTAAAATGAATAACAGTTCAGAAAAGGCAGAAGATTTCCACTTATGACACCCAGTGGAAAGCTTCATAACGTAATACAGTATATATATATATAAACTGAATAAATAAAAAGTTCTTGAGAAGTACAACATGCATGCATTTACTTTACAAAGATGGTTTCATCTAAAAAGTTTGGCAAAAACATCAGAGACATTCATTTGCAGTACAGGAACATTTCTGTTTCACAAACAAGAAAAGATTGTGGCTGATCTTCTATGAAGATTCTTACCAAATACAAATGTTAAGGTTGAGAAATACTGGAATACTAACACACATGAGACTAAAACCCAGAGCCACTTGCATACAAACCAAATGCAAAATTACAAGTGGCCTATTTTGAAGCTCTTTACCTAAAGTTGCTTAACGAAATGAATGTTCTTACCCACTATTTTTAGAAAATCTATGTTGGTGGGAACACTAAGTTTCTGAATCAACTATACCAAGTGGTCTACTGAATGTAGTTTGGTTCTCTTGCTGTAGAAGAGATATCAGCATTTTGAAGGAAAAGATTTAGGTGAGAAATTTGAATAATTCCTGGTTTAAGTCGTATAGTCTATGAATATCAGCTCGAGAGTTTTGTACATATTTCCTCTGGAGCATCAGATAAGTTGGTGTGGGTGGATTTATGTTTTAGTGATCTTTAGGAATTTGGACAGCCTTCTTTAGGGCTATCCATTTAGGTAGTGGTATTTAAGGTTTTGGATGCTAGTATGAATACTGGAGTTGGAATCCAGAACACAGATATATTCTGCAACATGGTTTTTGTTATTGATATGAATTCCTCTGGACTTTTATTGGTAGTAAAGGGACATATTTAAGGTGGATTAAATCAGTGAATCAGCAGTATTTTTGTTTCATTTTTTGGATCAGGGGAACAACAATGGGCTGAATGGCCTCCTCTCACTTTGCATTTTTTATGTTCTTATTCTAATATGTTGTAAAATAAGCCATTTTTTATGTTCTTATTCTAATATGTTGTAAAATAAGCCATTTTTTATGTTCTTATTCTAATATGTTGTAAAATAAGCCATTTTTTCCCATAGAAATAAACACTCCTCTCATTTATGGTATGGAAAAAAAAAGAAAACTCAGTTATATCATAGAGGAGACTTAGGATGAAAAATATCTCTGTCCTAATCTTTTTAACATGAGCCACTACTTTAAAAGAACCAGAGAACTATATGAATGTCAATGCATTTTGTTATGGCTTCTATTACTTATTCTAAAATAATAAAATACATTAAACTCTTCTCATGAATGTAATTGCAATGTTTCTTAAATCTAAATAGCTTGCCTAATAATCACTAAGATATCAAAATATACCTATTTCTCTGATCATGATTAAAGAAACAATATTATATACATATACATTTATGAAAGAGAAGATTATGTTAATACATGAGAAAAGTTTAAACTGAAGATTTTACAAAGTTGGCTTCTAAAGAGATGGAAAAAAAATTACTTGCTGATAACCTGCAATGTTAAATTCTTGTACAACATTCTGTATCAAAATTAATAGATATGTTGTTACCATAATGACTAGTTGAAAGTTTTTACTATTGTGTGTATGCATGTATAAGTATATAAATGAGACTTAAAAAAGATTTTTAAAAATTTACCCTCATCTTTTTCAAAATAACCACTACTTTGAAAAAAAAATCATAGATCTGTCTAAAAATGGAATCAATTTATGGAAAAATAAGTGGTGGATTTACATTTTTAATGTTTCCAAGGATGGGTGTGTGAGCATAGTCTTGAAGGATGAAATGGTCCCTTTCTGTCTATAGGTTATGTTACATCATTGATAAATCTGTACTGAAATCTGAATGGAATCCAAGGACAATGCAGTAAATTACTATCCTTCTAAAGCATTCTCATAACAAAATTAATGATAAGATTGTTCTTTGAATTACATTCAGGTTTAACTTTCCAGCAGTATTAAATGTGTGGCACAATCTATATACAACGGGGTAAACAATGTTATACATATATATATATAAATGTTACACACACACAAATATTACACAGACCCCTTATTCAAAGTAAATCTTACCATTAGGTCCAAATTTTTCTAAATTTTTTTGAACTTGCTCCTCAGACAACCCTCTTTCAAGGTCAGTTGAAAAATAGTCTAAGATTTCTTGGTAGCTTTTTGTGTGTGCTAACTCCATGACTTTTGTATCAACTTCACCACTACTTGTTAGTATTCCAGTTTGCACACAATTTTATAAAAGTATCTGATCGTGCAGAAAAACCCCTTTGATCAAAAACACTTGAGCTTGTAACCTGTTGCTACCTGTAACATGCCAAAAGACAAAACATTAACTATACATTTACAAAGTTTAAAATTTTAAACAATAAAAACTATTTAATGTATGAAAAACACTACAGTGTAAATATTAAAAAAAAGATAATGGTAAAAAATAATGATTAGAATACAGCTGTAATTTTGCGTGTTATCTTGTAAGTCAGGTGTAAGTGCATTCTCAAACAACTAATTATCCATTCATATTTATCACAAAAATGTATTGCTTTGTAATAGCAATCTCTGTACAAGAGAACTAGATTTTGACTGATTGTTTCCAATGGACAAAAATGATATTTCTAAAACCCAATTCAGGGGATGGGATGAGCAACAGAAGGATGTCACAGTTTTTAGTATTCAAATTACAACCAAACAATATATACTCTGATAAAGGGCTCAATCTGTTATCTGTTGATCTAAAAAAAAAACACTTTACTGTCAAAAGAACTAAACAATTTTCAGACATGAAGATGCAGAGTTTAGGGGCTTGGCTGGACTATGTTCCTCTTGCACAAAATAGTAAAAGTCTTCTTATTCAGGCAGGTACTGCACTTAACCACCTTGCAGTGGCAAGAAAGCTTTCCTCGGTCATCACTATTGACACAACTTATGAAAATCTCAAAGCCAGATCTTGTATGGCATAACATATGCAGCCTCTACCATGTTTTGTGCGAGATTTTGAACTGGGGTATAGGTTTTACTCCCTCATAGCCTGAAAACCAGTGTAAATTTGGCTGCACTGGTGGGCAATTCAAATTTCAGGCATCACAGAGAGTTCAAGTCTCTGTTACAAATTCACAAAAAAGAAGTGCAAGAAAGCTTCATTTGGGAATCAACCCACCAAACATGTGTCATTGACTTGCAGATTAGGTGTTAAATCATAATTTGTAGTTTATATAACATAAAGTTAATTATGTCAATGTCACACATACTATCTTCTGAAACAAATATATACCTACTGAAAGTTAGGAAAATACAAGAACCAAAATATACAGCCAAAAGGAGAAAGAAAGAGGCCTTCAAGGAAAGGTGAGAGTGTTAAAGAACCACATGAAGGTCCCAATCAGACAGATGATTCCAATGAGAAGAAGGGACAATGAAGGATCAAATGTGACAGAAGTAAAGATAGAACCATGGCAAAAAAGGCAAAAGGTGACTGACAAGGTTGCACAATATTCTACCATGGTGTAGACAGACAACATGCTGACTTAAAGATTACTCCTGGCTTGTTTACAGTGAATGTATGGATAGAGTATTCTACCATTTGTGTACACTATCCTATGTTAAAAGTCTATGGGTTTTCATATAAATGTGCCATTTACCAAATGGCAGAAAAAACAATTTAAAGGGCATGAAAACACACATGCTCACAAGGATACCATGGTTATGTCAGATAAGTGTATGAAGAATGTGGAGAAGCAAGAAGATAGAATCAAACTACAACTAAAAAATATTAAAGCTCAGAATGTTCAAAGAAATCAGCATATACTGAAATCCATCTCTAAGGCATTCCTATTCTGAAGCATAGACTTGAGGAGAGACAATGAAATAGTTACTGCAACAGGAAGCCCTAGAAAGTTCCTAGCTTATTTGAAAAATCTAAGTGAAAGATGAGATATTTATAGAGCACATGAAAAAGACAGCATTGAAAAATGCCAAATATCTGTCACTACAGATACAAAATTAACTGATAAACAAAACTGTTAATCATGTCATAAAGCAAATTTGGTTGAATAAGAAAATCAAAATTCTACAGTATTATGGCTGATGAGATTCCATCACATAACCAAAAACAATTAGGATACTATTTCAATTTGTGGATGAAAATAATGAAGTAGGATGTATGGAAATTACCAGTCTACATTTCCAATGAACTGAAATCTGTCTTAGAAAATTAAGGTATGCCTATACAAGATATCCAAGGTCAAAGATATGATGGAGTGTCTGCTGTAGTATTTTGAGTTGTTAAAAAGTGGTTTACCAGCAATTGTTAGCTCAGTGGGTAGAGCACTTGTCTGGCCTGTGAGATGTCTCAGGTTCAGATCGAAGGTGAGTAAATATATTACCACACTGTCATGAGCAATGATCATGTTGGAGCACAGAACTATATCTGTCTGGCCCCAAAAGGAATGGATAGCTAGAGTATCCAGTGAGCTACAGAACAAGATGGGCTAAAAGACAATGCTTATGAGCAATTTTACCAGATATTTGCATATGCAATGACAGTTTTGCAGCTCACTGCATACAGCTTATACAGATCACCTATGAGGATTGACCTAAGTAACAACATAGGAGTAATTCCACATCAGAACCTCTAGAAAATTAGGATGGCCATAAGGCAACCACACTGGAATAATTCCACATCAGAACCTCTAGAAAATTAGGATGGCCATAAGGCAACCACACTGGAGTAATTCCACATCAGAACCTCTAGAAAATTAGGATGGCCATAAGGCAACCACACTGGTGTAATTCCACATCAGAACCTCTAGAAAATTAGGATAGCCATAAGGCAACCACACTGGAGTAAATCCACATCAGAAGCTCCATAAGATTACTACAGTGAGCCTGGCCATATTTCTCTTAGATCATGCAAGGTCAAAAATATGTTGGTAATGCATCTGCATCACTAACAGGAGTTGTAGATCTTTACCAATAGGATATTCCATCACCTGAATAGAGCCGGGTTATTAACTCAATTACCAATGAGCATTGATTACATTAATTACTGTCACAAAAAGTGATCAAATAATCAAAATTAGTGTATATTATTATTACTGTCTTCAATTGCTCTATTTACGTAATTGAAATATTGCCAATATGACTTCTCATTATTATTTTTGATTAATTCAAACTTAATTTACTAGTCATGACTCACAAAAATAATCAACTAACTGAAATTAGTTTTTCCAATTATTACTATTTTTTATTATTCCAACTATCTACATCTTGTGTGAAGAACTGTTTAGCTGAATGTAATTGATTAACAAGCCATAAAATTACCCTATCAGCAAATTCCACTAATCACCCAGCTCTCACCTGAACTATCTAAACAGAATGAAACTATGATAACAATGCTCTGTAATCTACCATATGTAAAATTTCTCAGGATATATCACAAAACATGTTTCTCAAAAATCTTAAAGAATTGGATGTGTACTACCAGTAACATTCTTATGAATGCACGAGAAGTGCTAATTCATTGAGAAGATTACATGACAGAGGAATACTTACGTTCACTAGCACTAATCGACATCCAATATGATAGAAAGATTGATCTGGAGAGAATTGTAGATCACTTCACCAAAGTTTATCAACTTTACACTTTTTGATCTGCTTTGATTATATACTTAAATGAAGAATAATGTTTTAGGTGCTGTTGATTATTACATTTTAAAAAATTGAATATACATGTCAAGTTACACTCAGTAGAATCTGAGCCCCTCCCATTGAAGAAGGTGGCTGTGGGCCTTGTGTTTATTTATATAATTAGTATGTTTGTTTTACATTACATTGTTCAGCTATATCTCAGATCAAGTTACTTGTATTACACTGAAACAATCCTGATGAAAATTCTATTCATTGCATGCTCATTAAACACTGTGTGACAGGTAAAGTATTCATTAAAACATTAAGCTTTCTAAATACCAACTTTAAAACAGCTTCGGAATTCCTTGCACCTAATGTAATTGGAAGCTATTTATCTCACTAAAATACATTTTTTTATTCTATTAAACTACGAAAATAATTGATCTTAACCAGTCTTGTTGAGAGTAAGCAATTTAAAATTAATTAGGTTTTAACCCTTCTAAGTTCTATTGCCAAAATATCAAACAGATGTATATCACTATAGTTTATAGCTATGACAAACATGACTTATGTCTTTCTAGATTGTTTCAAATTTAAATATTAAAGTAATATTCTATAAAACTCGTATCATATTATTAATCTTTGGTACAATCGTGAAGAAAAAGAAACTATTTTTTATTATTTTATTATGTACTGGGACAAAATATATCCATACTACTTTATAAGTATACTATTACTAAACAAAATTGTGATCTAGTTATTAAATGAAAAACTTCGAGTACATAATACTAATTTCTGAACAAGCAGCAACCGAAACTGCTCACGAGTTCAAGAGTAGGACTATAGTATAGCACGTCTAAACGATACATATTACAAAATCGAAAATGTATTAGTTACAGCAACCACTACTGAATAATCTGTCTGGTTTACCTTTTCCACGCTCGTACTATGGTACTGGTAGAGATAGCAGTACAAACAATACGTGGAAAAGCATATTATAATTGTTAATATTATATAAATAATGATATAGACATACAATGATGTATAAATAAATATTATTAATAATATTATGAACTCAGGTTACGCCTACCTTTAAAATATTATCATGATAATTGATAATATTAATAAACACACACAGTTTACCTCGTATATGACCTAATGTAAATGAATAGATTATGAAAACACTTAAACTGATTTTAATTAATTTCCACCAAATCCCATTTACTATAATTATACGTTATATTCCATTAAGCCTAACTTTAAATACACCTAGTATTAGTTATATAACATTTCGAGTACACGATATACACATTAACAACGCAGACTCGTGTGGCTGTAAATGATTGGTTAAATCTAGTACTAGACGTAAAGTGAAAGAGGCTATTACGTACCTAGGTGAAGTGAACAAGGCTGTGTAATACGTGAACAAATATTTGGAAATATAATAACTATTAAATGACTCAGCAGTTACAAAATATACATAACAAATTCTTAACATGACAAAGTAACTAACATAAATTTATTACGTTACTAAAAATCTGTACAGAATTCCAAAGAGGAAAGAATTTCACGATCATGAAATTAAATTGTTTCCAGCAGTGTAAATAAGTTTTATGACCACATGTTAAAAAGAAGGCAAAACTAAATTAAACACTCGCGATGTTTATAGCAGAACCATTTTTAACTTGACGTTTCATCTAATATAAATTATGTTTATAATACCCTTAATGTTATGAGACATTGAAAAACATGGTATTACTACCAGAACTCAGTGGCATGAAGCACTGAGACATGAAATCGACAAAAAATTATAGCTTTCAAACGGCAACAGTTTTATTGATTTTCTAGCGTAGCTACATGAGGGCTATTTGCATTACCCGTCCCCAATTTTCAAGTTATGGACTACAAGGTTCTAGTTGTTTTTATTTAAACCCAAAGCTACACAAAAGGCTATCTGTGGTCTGCCCACCACGGGTATCAAAACCCGGTTTATAGCGGTATAAGTCTGCAGACATACTGCTGTGCCACTGGGGGCTAGACTACAATGAAGGCAACTACCAGTCAATACCACCAACTAATGGGCTACTCTAATCGAATAGTGGAATTCGACCGTCATTTTGATAGCGCACCTATCGTCCTAAAGTGATATGCACATTTTTTTAGAGGGGAGGCGGCAACGATAACAGGGAGCGAATCTCGGATCCATAGTAAGGCACGCTAACAACTAAGCCGTGCTCGACCGAACAGTCTAATGAGAATATTCCTTCTTATTCTATGAAAATGGCCTAGAAGTACTTTATGGTCGCAATATAATCTTTATAAATTACATCTTACCGAAGCATGCTTAAGTTTCCCAATATCCGCTTAAATGAAATATCAATTCTTGTTAATAACATTAAAAGCGAACAGTTTCAAGTATATAAGTAAGTTAGATAAAAATCTTTCAGCTGGTATCCCCAGGTGGGTCAGCAGTAAGTTTACGATCTTACAAAACTAAAATTCGAGGTGAACATGGTGCAGATAACCTAGTGTGTAGGTTTGCGCTAAAAAACAAACTTTCACCTGGTACAGTCTTTTTCAAAAGTAGCTGTATAATCAAACTTAGGAGAACGTACAGTTTCATTGAGGTTCACCAGTGATTCTTAAACAGAACTAAAACACACACCTAACTCACCTGAATAGCTTTCATGCTAAACATTTGCAATTTCCAAATACCCAACAAGTCTTACTCTTCCAATTAGTTCGACACCCCTGAACGAAACCTGAACCTTACATAATCTATGGTGTTTAATTATAAATTTTTCATCAACACAGTAATAATGATAAAGGTTTAATAACAAATAATAGGGAAAACAAAAACAAATTGCTTTGTATATTACACCGGTTTCTATATCTCTATAAATACATCTGAAAAAAAAAGTATCAATGGTTTTTAACAACTATTAGTATAAGAATTTGGTTCATTTGTAAATTATGGATTTATTCTTGAAAATGTTTTATAAGTGCTGCTTGGAATATCAAGCCAGAAAAGAATTTCAAGCTTAATTAAGGAGCAACATGTACACAGCGTGGTCACAAGTAAATAGACACCACCTTTTTCGTCATTTAACTGATTTA